AAATAATATATGACTAGATATTTTTCAAGAAATTCTATACAGCCTAAAGTGACATTTAAGTGGTTTACTATGTAAATAAGATTAACTAGGCAGGGTAATTAGGCAAGTTATTGTATAACGCTGGTTTGTTCTGTAGACTATTGAAAAAAAAATAGCTTCAAGGGACTTATAATTTTGACCTTAAAACTTATTAAAAAAATAAATAAAACTGCTTTTATTCTAGCCGAAATAAAACAAATAAGACTTTCTTCAGAAGAAAAAAATATTCACCCAACAATGAAGATTTCCTCATCATTTACTCACACTCAAGTGGTTCTAAACTGTAATAAATTTCTTTCTTCTTTTGAACACAAAACAAGATGTTCTGAAGAATGTTGAAAATCAATCGCCACTGACCTCCACAGCAGAAAAACAAATACTATGGAAGTCAATGACTCCTGTTGCTGCTTTCCAACAGTCTTCAAAAAACTTTAGCTGCGTCCCAAATCGCATACTTATGCACTATTCTATAGTAGTATAAATAGTGTAAGTAGTGTGTTCACACTGAAAACTCTAAAAATAATAAGTGCACTTTAACTACCCGGATGATGCACATATTCAGCCGCTAAAATTAAGTGTGTAATGATGGACACTTCACAAACTCAACGACCGCAGGTTTGCTTATGTAGCGGAAGGGGCGGAGCTATTGGACGCACATGTTGAATAACTTTATTTATTTTGGATGGTGAAAGCAAAATTCTCCTATGAGAGAGATTATAGCGCCTCCCGATGGTGAATGCAGCAATACTCACGGCAGGTATTATTTGATAATTCGGTCATTTATTTCACTGATTTGGCAACCGTCAAACGTCATCAGGGAAACGGTTTGAATTTCTGCTTAGTAAAAAAAACATTAGAGTGCCATTTGGGAGGCCACTATGTACTATCCTGTTGAGTGTGTAAGTGCATAAGTACATAGTGCATGAGTGCATAGTGTATGGTGTGCCATTTGGGACGCAGCTCTTGTCTTGTTTTCAGCAGAAGAAAGAAAGCCAAATAGGTTTGTAACAAGTGGAAGATAAGCGATTAATAAAAGAGTTTTCAGTTTTGGGTGAACTATCCCGTTAAGAAGCCAGCTACACAACACCATTTCCCAACTCAAAATGAAAAACTGTATGTGTTTGGTTGTCAGAGATGGCAAAAGTACACAAATCCTTTACTCTAGTAGAAGTACAGATACTCATGTTTAAAATGACTCTGGTAAACGTTGAAGTACTGACAACACTTTTGTACTCAAGTAAAAGTAAAGAAGTATGGCCTCAAAAATGTACTTAAGTAAAAAAGTACCCATTACTAATACACGTTTTAGTTTTACTAGGTAAATATCCGGTCTCCCACATTTGATTGTTTTAGAACTCAATGTACAAATCTTTTTTTTTTTACAGTATTAGATTGAAAGATCAGAGAAATCCTGTGCAGTATGAAGACAAAAGACTGTTCACCTTAAGCATTTGTAAGGCATATTTTTGAACTGGAATGTCTCTCTCTTGTTTACCTGTGATCTGATTGAGCAAAATGTGTCTTATAACCAAGTAAACAGGGCAACATCAGTCATGTTATATTCACCGTCTCCCTCTGTAGTCATCCTTGCCTTTCCCATAGTAATCATCATAAACTAGCCTGCATACGGCACGTGATAGCCTAGGTTGAAAAAGCCACACACTGCAGCACGCAGGCACAAAAAAATAGACAGACTGCATTAAAAAGGCACTTCAAATTGCGCAATGACAAAGAAATAATATAGATTGCACCACCAAACACTTAAAAATAAAAGTAACAAGTCCGATTTTAAAAATGTAAGGAGTAGAAAGTACAGATATTTGTGTAAAAATGTAAGGAGTAAAAGTAAAAAGTTGTCAGAAAAATAAGTAGTGGAGTAAAGTACTGATACCAGAAAAATCTACTTAAGTAGAGTAACAAAGTATTTGTACTTAGTTACTTCCCATCTCTTTTGGTTTTTTATGATAATAGATTGTGAAAATTATATTATAATCCATGTATATAGTGTGTGTACGGTCTGAGCAGTTGACAACCATTACAACAATGGTGAACTACAGGACTATACTGCCCTACAAAGGCAGCGAGCAGTAGCTACGCGAACACTAAAGCTGAGGGAAAAATGCCTTTAAAGTTTTTACACCAGCCAGTTTAACATGCAGATTAGGGATTTTATTTATCTCTGACGCAGGACAAAATTGAACCAAGAGACAGAATTGATGCCACAACACACACTTTAGACCTTAACCTTGGCTCAGTTTTGTCACTTTGCTTTTTGATGGCAGAATATGAGCACAAGAAGGGTTTCTTTATAAAGTGATGACGTTTAGTCATTTTCTCTGATGACTGGGGATCATTTTATAACATTGCTGTCATCTGTTTGGAAAACATTTTAGAATGAAAATAAGGGGGAAAAGAACAACAAAGGGTCAACACTAAAGATATAAAAGCACAATCATTCTTCCTAATACTGCTAAGACATAGGTCTCCATCCACAGTTTTGCTCCAACCCTAATCAAACAGCTGATCCAACGGTGTTCTACTAGAGACTATTAAGCAGGTGAGTTGGAGGTGGGTGGAGATAATGCAGAGCTGTGGCCCTCCAGGAATTGAGTTTGAGACTACTGTACTAAGGACTTGTGCATTGACTGACCATTTGAATAATCATTAACTTGTGTGTTGAAATAAAATGCATGTTTAAGTAGTGAAGGGCTGCACAAAATGAGCAAATCTTCCTAATGAAATCCATAAGGCCACATGAGATAATTTATGAATGAGAGTCAATCCATTTAAGTCACGTGATTATGACAACATACGCTTACTATTTCACATTCATATTCATTAGCAGTTCAAAATAAATCAGTTTAAATTCAAAGAGTACTGAACCTACTCAGACAGTACACTGGCTGTCATTTTTGGATCTAACCTAAAAATATTTAACGATAATGGCAATGCATTATTTATACTTTCTGAGAGAACTTACAGAACATCTGCATGAATAAATAAGTTGTAGAGGTATTTCTTTCCGCGCCGGAGTTTAATTGGAAGTGAGACTCTGCTTGTTTGGTTCAGGTTCAAGAGGCAGTGTTCACACGTAACGATTCAAATGAACCAAACTAACAGAGCAAGCAGAGTTCGTTTTAAATAACTGTGAACACACCCTCAGCCTTTTATATTTCAGGCGGTTACTGATGCATGGTATATTGAGCAACTCGAACACCATTCTGTATGCCTCTTACCTACAAACATTTCTTAATTATCCCAGATTGGGCACAATGCACATGTAATAGCTCAAGTTCAGAACTTTGAGGCATCCTGTAAGGTCATTTCTATTCTGAATGTTCAGACTTGGTAATTTTCTACAAACACTAAATAAAGGATGATTTCTATGTAAAAAAAATATTTTTAAGTTTTTTTTTTTTAAGGTAAGGGGTTTTAAAATAATTATTTAGGCTGAATTTAAACAAGCCAATTAAATTTAATAGCATTCAACTTAATTTATTTCTTTAAATTCAACATATATAAATTGTTTGTGACCACTTACCTTAAAAAAACTTAGTAAATCCAATGAATCATTTTGTTTCAGTGTTGGTGAAGTAATTAATAATATCTCTGTCTGTTATTAAAGTCAGGCGCATGTAACTGTGCATTATTAATGTTGTGTGTGCTTTAACTTTCCATCACTAATAATTATACATGCTATATTGAGCAAGACAAACACCATTCTGTATGCCTCTTTCCTACAAATATTTCTTAATTATGCCAGGTTAGGGACAATGCACATAAATTAGCTCAAGTTCAGACCTTTAAGGCATACTGTAAGGTCATTTCTTGTCTGAATGTTGTCATTTCCTCCAAAAACTAAATAAAAGATGATTTATATTTGTAATAAAAAAATAAATATAAATAAAAAAAATAAAAAATATAAATTAAAAAAATAAATTAAATAAATAATTATATATATATATATATATATATATATATATATATATATATATATATATATATATATATATATATATATATATATATATATATTTGTTAGACTTACTAAGTTTTTTTTAAGCAAGTGGTTACAAATACTATGTAGGCTAAATTAAAAAAAAAAACTAATTAAATTTAGTAGATTTTAGCTTAATTTGTTTGTTTAAATTCAGCATTTATAAATTGTTTGCGACCACTTGGCTAAAAGAAAAAAAAAAGTATATTCAATGCATCATTTTAATTTTCACTGTTCAAGTGATTAATAATCTCTCTGTCTGTTATTAAAGTCAGGTACATGTAACTAAGCATTAATAATGTTGTGTGTGCTTTAACTGTGCATCACTAATAATATGGTGTGAGGTTCAAACTGGCAAACAAAGGAAATTGCAAAAGTGCCTCAATGAATCAAGTGCTTGGAATGAATCAAACTGATTGCAGACTATTGCAACTAGACACATATTTTAGAGCAGGTCTGATAATGCATGATTACAATATGAGTGGGTTTCCCTCCTAAAATACCTTTATCATAATCAACCACTTAAAAAATGTATAGATTTACTAATATTAATCATAATTATCCATATTCTGTGCATGCTTGGTTTCCCACACTGCTCTTCTGTATAACAATGCTGGATATTATAATAAATATTATAATAAATAAAAATAATAATAAAATAAATGCTCTATAAAGATTAAAGTCTAAAACTATTTCCCACGTAAGAGAACAAAATCATATTTACATTACTTTCGGATTGACTCAATATTGAACGCCCTGAATATTCATTTTCCCGTAATTTACGCACATTCTACAAACATACAGTATAGTAAAACACCTATTTTTTACATTTCAAATAATAATATAAGAAGTGATTGATGTGGCTATGATTTTTTTAGAGAAAACCACATGCAAGTGTCACTTGTTCAACATACGTGAATTGTGCTTGAATGCATGCATGTATCATACAACACGATAGGCATACCTTCCATCCGGCAGAGCTGTTGCTGTCTCCTTTATCCTTGAAATATGGCACATATCGGACCATCCAGTCGTAGATCTGAGACAGGGTGAGCCTTTTGTCGGGTGTGCTCTCGATGGCCCGGGTGATGAGCTCCGCGTACGACTGGTTCCCCCACGCGTTCCGCCGGGAGGACGCCTTGGTTTTGCGCAGCGCGGCTCCGGTCAAGTCGTGAAATCCTCCGGCATCCAGCACCATCATCCTCCTCCTGCACGACGGTGAAGGAGCACGATCCGAATCCACTTGAAAAATGGAGAGATTGAGCGACAGATCCGCGTTCACGACATCACACGAGAAGTCATTCGTCCAGCTGCAGGAGCGAGCCGCGCTGCCCAATTCCGACTCCATATCCACCTGATGAGCCTCCGCTTCATCCTCCTCTATCATCATCTTCTGTGCTTAAGAAACCGATGGCAGGTAGATGTCGTCAGGTGATCAAGTATATTCTGAGAAACGCCTCAACGAGTCCACCTTACACAGGGCGGGAGAGAGGAGGATGCTGTAAATGAGAGCGCATCATGTTGAAGTGAGTCTGGCTTTTGCAGGAATAATGGGATGCATGTGTTCAGACAGCGGCTCATCTTCAATTTCCATCCCGGTTTTAACTCACTCTGACCGCAGCATCCTCCTCCTCCTCCTCATCATACTCCCATTGCCTGTTACATGCAGGCAGAACTGGAGCAGCAACAGATGACAAAAGCTTTATACTGTAGTTCCACTCAATGAGAACTATAAACTTCACAATGAACGTCGGGAAATGTTTGGAAAAGCCCCACACAGCAAAATATGGGGACCCAAAACAACTCTATGGGTGTTAATTTCAACACTTTGAAAGTGTCTCATGGGGTCCACTCAAAACAGAGTTAAATCAACACTTTCAAAAGGGTTGGCACATTGACACCGAAGTAAGGGTTAATTTTAACTCTGGGCAGAGTTAAAAAATGTAACTATATTTAACACCGCCTGGTGTAATATATTGTTATTTTATTCAACTCTCTTGAGTGTAAATATGGTAAAAAGGTCAAATAGACTGTAAATTACAAAAGAAAAAACATTTTATTTGAAAACATTCACCACTTCAACAATTCATTCAGTTTTTAAAATGCAACAATGTCAAATATGCTTTAAATGTTTTATTAGTACAGACAGTATCAACAAAATATGTGTGACCAGTGCTCAAAAAGGCTGTTTCAGTCCTTTGGTCCAAACTTGATGTTTCATCAGAGCAATTTGAAAGTTCAATATAGCGTCACTCATAGTTTTCTTCTGAACTCATAGTTTTCTTCTGAACGCATAGTTTTTTTCTGAAATTACATTTTAAACAACTTGGCGTGCAAATCTTTCACTTCTGGTGTTTCCTTGGTCCTCCATATCAAACACAGCAGTTTAAATGAAGGTATAAATGCTGTAAACTTGTGTGAAAACAAACTGGAGCTAGGAAATCTCATCAAGCATGTCCTGTGAATGAAGTGCTTCCCAGCCACAGGATGACCTTTTTATTCATGACGATGTAGTAGCTGCTGATCGCTCGTCTGGTGGTTCCTGATGCACGGATATAGGGTGAAGCTCATCTAAGAACTCTTCAAGACTCCAGCATGACTAAGAAAAATGTTTGAAAACAAATTGCAATCAAATTCTATGATATATTTAAAAGAACATTTAAAGTAAATAAAACATTCAAGAAATCTAAACTCACCTTTTGAAAATCTACATGATGATCCACATCTTGACTCTCCCTGCTGTTTGAGGTGACAGGATATGGAAAAGTAGAAAAAACACACACATCACTGTTGGATCTCCAAAAACAATTAGATTAACCACTATGAGTAGAACTGGAAAAACAGGCAGCTGTCTGTCCAGAATCCTGAATTTAACACAACACTTGGAGCAAAATTTAGAGGATCTTAAAATCTTTTATATCATTTAGTGATGCTGACTTCCCCAAAATATTGGCCACAGTGTAAAAAATATTCATAAACTTAAAGTTTTCTGTAAGCGTGTGTGTGTGTGTGTGCGTGCGTGTGTGTGTGCGCGTGCATGTTTCTTTACCAGATTCAACTTATTAGGCCCTTTCAGGTCCAGTATTGACGCCACCTTTCCTGGAGTCTAGCAGATGTTTCAGGTCCAAATATAATCTAAAATATTAGGATACGCAGAAGAGGAAAAGTGCAAAGCAAAGAGCAAAACATTATTTAAGTAACAGTTCACCCACAATACAAAACTTATCACCTTCATGTCATTTGTTATTCTCTAATGCTCTAATACCCTCTCAGCTTATTGTGAAACAAATACAGAACTTTATCAAACATACCTTCATTATTATCACCACATATGACCAAGAAGGTGTGCTTGGTCATTTCACCAACTCTGGAAATACACCATCCGTCTCTAATCAGCCACCGTCACAGGGTCTTGTGTTATTGTACAGAGAACTGTGGCTGTTAAAAAAACAACAAAAAATTAGTATCTAACACATATGCATAACCTTCAGATAAAAAGGAGAGATGAACATCACAAAGTATGCCTCACACTTTTTCAGATATCTTTTGATTCAGATGTTGATTATTGACAATAAATCTACAAATGAAACCTGTATCATCATTAGGCTGCTCAAATATGAATCAGTTGAATAATTTTACAGACAGGTGGCTGTTTACAACGCACTAAATTGTCTTTAATAAAAAGGAAATGTTGTGAACAGTACATGCTAAGTTTAGCCTATAGTTTTAAGCACAATATCATGCTGGAGAAAAAGCTTGACTAAGATGTTCCTGACTACAGAAATAGCCTAACGTTACTAACGTCAGACATCCCTAGTTGGGAAAAGTCATTTTCGGGGGATAGAGAGTTGATTTGCGGGAGGTAGCGGGAGAGATGGGTACCTGAAGAGCAATGGGATGAATTGCGCGCGACGTACCTAAAGAGCGGTGGGGGTGACTTGCGCGCGACGTACCTGAAGAGCGGTGGGGGTGACTTGCGCGCGATATACCTGAAGAGCTGGGAGGGATGCGGCGGAGAGGGGTGTGCAAAGTGTTTAATGACCAGGCGGGAGACGCGCGATTTCCGGGAGATTATCATTCATTTGCGGTCATCTACTTGGGCATCTGGGAGTCTCTGTGCATTTGCGGGATAACGTTAACGTTAGTCCCGCAACTTCCGGGAGACTTCTGTAACGTTAAATGTCTGAGAAAGTGCGAACGCGGTCATTTAAAGACATTAATGTTAACATTCCGACTTTAATGGTTGTCAACGCTTAATATAATTCAAGCGTAAGTTACGTTATCACGCGACTCTATGGACTAACGGTATATAGACGGCTAAGAATGAACCAGTTTAAAAGGGCCGCGGTGTTTAAAATAACCAAATTAACGTACACGAATAACAAACAATCATATGTTTTAGTCAGGAAGCCTTTTACAAGTAAGCATATGTTCATTTACTCACCAGATATGTTTAGAAACTCTCCAGAGCTTATGGAAACCGTCCTGTGTTGCCGTTAGCATCCGGGCAGAGTAGGCTAGGCGGCTCCGGGTATTCCCTCGCTAGTTTGCTTCGAATTAAAGGAGAAGTGTCGATTTTATTTTACAGATGGGTAACAACGCACAAAATGGCATAAAGCGAGACAGAATTGTGTTGAACATGTACATTTGATGTTTTTATGCACTATGTATGCGTGAGCATATATAAAAACATTCTTGAAAAGAAGTCAATAGTAATGCAGTTAAGCTAGATACACAAACGGCCATGAATGAACCGCAGAAGTTTAAAATTGTCACTCCATTCTAAAGTTATTAACTTAACAATATGTTTACAACTGTGTTTCCTTAGAGAAAGTCAGTAAAATACCAACATTTAGGTAGTTTGACTCACCAAATGGCGTCTGGAAAATTCTTCAGTGACTGGGGCTGCATGAATTCCCGGATGTTGGAAATAACACCACCAAGTGTTGAAAAGATAACTCCTTGATTTCGCACTGAATAAAATCAATTCTAACTCTTATTATATTCATTTATCAAAATCTAACTCTTTAACGTCAACACTTTACTCTGAAATGCTTCAACACCGAGAATTTAACTCTGATGAATTTGCTGTGCATGCATGTTGTGCTTTATTCCGTTTTGATTGTAGGCTAATATAGTATATATTTTGGAGATACATATTTTTTCCCCTCTTAAATAAAAGGTAGTAAAAAGACATCTCTCATGTGCTACTTTTGTGCATAATTTATTATTGATTTCAATAAATTGTTAGTCGAAAAAGAGGAACTGTTCACCTAAATATAAAAACATGTTGTATTTTTTTCTTGTCATTAATTTAATTATTTATATTTAATTATTATTATTATTATTTTTAGATTATTTAAATTATTTCAAGGATGTGTTCAGAGATGCTCTTCTGCAGACCTCGGTTGTAACAAGTGGTTATTTGAGTTACTGTGTCTTCCTATCAGCTGGAACTGGCCATTCTCCTCTGACCTCTGGCATCAACAAGGTATTTGCGCCCACAGAATTGCCGCTTACTGGATATTTTCTCTTTTTCAGACTATTCTCTGTAAACCCTAGAGATGATTGTGCGTGAAAATCCCAGTAGATGAGTATAGTTTCTCAACCCAGGCCAACAACCACGCCACATTCAAAGTCACTTAAATCACCTTTCTTCCCCATTCTGATGCTCGGTTTGAGGAGCAGATTGTCTTGACCATGTCTACATGCCTAAATGCATTGAGTTGCTGCCGAGTGATTGGCTGATTAGAAATTTGCGTTGACGAGCATTTAGACAGGTGTACCTAATAAAGTGGCCGGTGGGTGTATACAGCACAAGGTGAAAATGTCAGAATATGAGTGGAATTTGGAATTCTGTCAGTGTGACAGACAGATTTATACAAAAATAAAGATATTCTATGAATAAAAAGTGTATATATTCCCTGATCTGTATTTATAGAAACATCTAACAGATTAAGCAGGCCTATTGATTTTTTACTCTATAAATATTAATATAGATCATGATTAAACATTTGAAATTACAGTTAATTCCATAGGACGGCACTGACATTTGTAAAAGAAACTAAGGGCAGAGGATTTTTATGTGTGTGTATCAACTATTATTTTTTTGTAAATCATAAGTTTAGAAAAAAGTAAACATAAAACGAAACAAAAAGAAGTGACTGTCAGAATCCTGTTTAAACTGCAAATCCAGATTTGTGTAAATTATTGCATTAAATATTTATCATAAAAAAACATAAAATAAACATAAAAGGCCATACAAAGACATCTCTCCTGTAGTACTTTTGTGCGTAATTTATTATTCGTATAAAGAAATTGTTAGTCAAAAAGAGCTGCTAAAAGGAACAGTTCACCTAAATGTCAAAACATGTATTTTTTCTCGCCATAAATTTAATTTCTATTTTATTTAATAATTATTATATTTAAAAAAATGTACTACTACTACTATTAACTGTGTTTACTATGTTATTTTTAAACATATATGTATGTTCTTTTTTATGTAAACTTTAATGATGCTTTGGCAATGCATTTGTTACATTTTAATGCCAATAAAGCAATTATTGAATTCAATTCAATTGACACGGAGAGAGAGTTTATTATGAATCTTTTTATATATCCTTTTACTTTAAACTTAGTGAATACTTTGGCAAAATATTTAAAGCTTTTGTCAGGCCGATCATTTAAAAAAAAAATGTATTTCAATTTAAATTGGAAGAGAAAGAGAGAGATTTTGATTTTAGTGTCTGCTTAAATTACAGTATATACAGGGGCG